CATCAACATCTAGCTTCATTCAAGTACAAAATAAGAGATGGGACCAGAGAAGTGCTAGTGTGTGCCAAAGCATTTTGTAGTATATATGGAATCTCAAAAGAAAGATTGCGAAGAATAAGATTATGTCTTGTAAAATCAGGAAAGTCACCGCAAGACCGACGAGGTCATCATGCAAATAGACCTCGAAAAACTGACGGAAGAGTGTACACTAATATTCGTGATCATATAAAATCTTTTAAGTGTCGACAGTCTCATTATTCTCGCAGAGATAATCCAAATATATACTATTTACCAGAAACTTTAAGTTGCAAAAAAATGTATAAAATATTTTGTGAAGAAAATGAAGATCTACGCGTCTCGTATAAAGTTTATTGGCAGGTTTTTACAAGAGAGTTTAAGTTAAAGTTTGGTGTTCCAAAAAGCGATACCTGTGGCATATGCGACAACTTAATGCAACAAATGAACCTCGAAACAGACATGACAAAAAAAGCAGATTTGAAGACTGAAAAAAAACTTCACTTATGTAAAGCTGAAAAGTTTTATCAGCTAAAGAAGCATTACCGGAAGTTAGCTAGACAACATCCTGATGATTATTCTTGCATATCTTTCGATTTCATGCAGAACTTACCAGTTCCCCATATTCGCACAAATGAAGTTTTTTACGCCATTCAGATGTGGTACTATGTTTTTGGTATACATAATGAGGGAAATGATGATGCAACAATGTACTGTTATGACGAAACTGTTGCAAAAAAAGGGCAAAATGATGTAGCTTCTCTACTTTTTCAGTTTTTAAAAAGCCATGAACTTACCAAAAAAAAATTAATATTGCTCAGCGATGGGTGCGCTGGACAAAATAAAAATTACGTTCTGATGCGTTTTTTATATATATTAGTTCACTGTTTGCACATGTTCGAAAGTATTATTCACATATTTCCAGTCAGAGGACATTCTTTTTTGTCAAACGATAGAGATTTTTCTCTCATTGAGAAACACAAGAAAACTGCAACCGTTGAAGTACCTTCAGAATGGGACAAGATTATAAAGGAGGCACGCGAAAAGCCATCCCCATATAAACTTGTTAACGTACAGTCACACATGATATTTGATATATCAAGCAATACTTCTCCATATTTTCTAAAAAACCCAAAACCACCGGTAAAAATTAAAACGGCAAGAATGCTTAAGTATGACAGAAATGAACCAGGATATGTGCTAGCAAAGCAAAGTTATACTGGAGAGTGGGAACGTAGTTATATACGAAATAACAAATCATTGTCAAAAGAACTGCGTTTGACACCAAACTACAATCTAAAATCAGACATCTTTCAAATTTATCAAAATATATTAAAAAGCCTGATAATATAAATTTTTATAATAGGTTGTTAAATACGGATAAACATGGTAGTGACGACAATGATGTGGAAATAGACAATGACGACAACAGCAGCGGAAATAGTGACGTAGAATAAGAATATTATCATACAGTTAGAATACTTTTCTTTTTATCATCTTAAAACAAGTTAAAGTTTTTTTTCTATTTAACTAATTTTTTAATGGCACTGACAACAAGTCAACATGCCAGACGTTAAAGGTTTCGTTTCAATAAATATTTATATATAAAAATATCATTTTTTTACAAGCCTCTTTAAAAAATTCCTAAAAAACAACATTTGTCACGACTTTCTTCACGTTTTTTTCGTTTACAAATCCGGTTATTTTTTTGAAATATATCTTAAAATATATTAGATGCCTTCTTACATGCCCTAAAAATAAAAAAAATAGGTGTCTTAGTCGAATAACCAAGAAAAAGTTTTTGTTAATTTGCCACAATTCACTTTTTTTTACAAATGTTGTTTTTCCCAGAAACCCCTCAATTGTATTCATTACAGCATTGGTACAATTTATATCAATAATAATGATGCAAGTATCCTTTTTTTATTGAATATATATGTTTATATGTTTGTGTGTGGTTTTTATTGCCCCACACACATACCCACACATCGCACTTTGCTCAAGTTCTAATTGATTTCACTTTGATGGTATTTCCTTAACTAATTTCTTAGCTACTTTTGAGCCTACTACATAATTAAAAGCAACATTATTTTTAGTCCGGCGGGAGCGCACTAATAAGTCGTCTAGTTTAAGAGCAAATAAATATCAGAGTGTAACTAAATGGGACCTTAATATCATCATTCAGTATACATTTCTACATAAGAAATCAAGAATGACGACATTTTTCATTGGTCGAGATAAAATTTACGTAGAAAAAATGAAGAAAATTGAGCTTTTCAATGTTTTTTCTTTGTTGTCCTGCGATTCGATTTCTAAGAAAGATATATTCACCGTTTTAGAATCATCTGAATGCTCTTATTTTTATCTAAACAATAGCAGTTAAAAACTTTTTTTTTTTGGAAAATAAAATGAGAAAAAAAATAAAAACTTTTTAGTTCAATCATTTTGCGAATTTTCCAATTTGTTTACACCCCTCCATCTCTCTTTTTTGTATAATCAACCGCTACTTTTTTTTACACCAAAAACTGCGGAATTTCTTCGTCTTTATTTTTGTTCGATTATGTATATGTCTACATAAAGTATTTTTGATGATACATCATTTAGAGAGATGCGCGCTCTATAAGTATCAACAGAGTAAAGTATTCCCCGCAAACCCGCCTGCTTCATCAACTGTTTGTTTATTGTGCAAGTCAAGTACATAGGATAGCAAGTGTTATGCATCGTGTTCTGATTTATGCGTTATTTTTCTATACGGCTTAATAAATAATCGATAATAAATAAAAAAAACTATAGACTATAGTGATTGTGATAAGTTAGTAAAAGTGAAATACAAGTTTTTAATTGGTGTAAGTATTTTTAAAAAATAAGGAAAAAGTAAACTGAGTAAATTTTGTTTTTAGAATATAGGAAGGTTCCTAAACTGAACAATATGAATAATTGGTGTCTAATCTGTCGAAATAACTTTGACGAATCGAGTGAATTATACGTAAAAAAACCTAGACTTAGTGGTATAAGTTCAATTTTAAATGCTGCACATGAACGAAATGATCAAATTAGCGCTAAAATTCTACTTTTAGAATCTGAAATATTACAAAGCACAGGAACATTTAGTTATCATTATTCATGCAGAAAAACATTTTGCAGTCAAAATAATATTAAAAATAAAAAACTGTTAACCCCTTCGTCAAGCACAAGTAATATTTCTTATAGTAACAGAAATACTGACATTTTATTTAATATTAAAAGGGACTGCTTAATATGCGGAAAAAGTGGAACGGTAAAAAAATTAGGACTAACAAAAATTTGTACTGGAACAGGTAAAACTACTAGAAATAAAATTTTACAAGCTGCAAAGGATCGTCAGGATACTTTAATACGAGGCAGAATTGAATTTTATACAGATTTATTTGCAGCCGATGCTAAGTATCATAAAATATGTTATATAAAATATATAAATAAAAGACATATAAGTGCCATAAAACGCAAACACCACACTAAACAAATTAATATTGAAGAAGAAACCTTCCAGACGCTATGTTCTGAAATTGATGATCTTATAATTGTTAATAAAAACTCTGTAACACTAGAAAATCTAACTAATCGTTATAATGAAATCCGAAGAGGAAAAAACCTCGAAAATATTACAACAGAAAACCTACGTAAAAAACTAGAATTTCATTTTAAAAATAAAATACTTTTCAAATCTGAATTAGGAAAGGAGACAATTGTTTATTCAAAAGATAATAAAATTATTGATTTTATTCCTATATCAGGAAATGCCAACCTGGATTCTTCTAGTAGTAATAGTGAAATTGATGATATACAAATTGACGAAAGTGAACTTTCAGTACTTCATAAAGCAGCGGCAATATTAAGAAAAAAAATCAATCATCACATAAATCAGCCATCTTCATCCAAACAAACGTATTTAGGCCCTGACGCGATAAATGAACAGAAATGTCAAAAAGAAATACCGAATGAATTATTTCAATTCATTACATGGATTTTATATGAGAAAGAGCTAAGAAATGTTTCAGATGAGAATTCATTCAATCTTAAAGTTATGTCCATTTGTTCTAATATTTTAAATAGTTTTGACAAAAATAAAAATTATACTAGTTTCGGATTCAGTTTTTCCCTTTATATGTATCAGACTGTAAGAAGCAAAAAATTAATAAATCTTTTACATCAGTTTGGTTATGGGTGTTCCTATGATGAAATACGAACATTTTTAACATCCCTCGCTGTTGA